GGGTCAAAGTTGGCCCCACCCTGGGGTCATTGATTTTCGCTATGTGCGTACAGAAAAAACTTAAAAAATCTTCGCCTCTGAAAGTGCAAGGCCTAGACTGTAGATATTTTGTGTGTAGCATCATCTTATGAAATTGTTCAAATTAATATAGCCCTGGGGTCAAAATTGGCTTCTCCCCAGGGGATCATTGATTTTCATTATATGTATATAACATAACATAATATATATAGTAAATACTTAAAAAATCATATTCTCTGAATTGACACAGGTTAAAGGTTAGATATTTGGCATGAATAATTGTGTAGTAGACATCTACCAAGACTGTACAAATTACAACATATAGTCCTTTGATCAATTTTGGCCCCGCCCTGTGGGTCTTTGATTTTCATTAATTACATATAGTAAAAATTTTAAAAATCTTCTTTTCTGAAGTTACAAGGCTAAGAGCTTTGATGTTTGGTAAATGACATCATCTATATGTCCTCTAACAAAGTTCTTCAAAGTTTTTTCTCAATTGTCAATAGGAGCCATAGGTTTCCAAATATGGAAAAACACTCTTATCTAGGGACTACAGTTTGAGTCCAAATATCCTATATTTTAGTGAGAAAGGTTGTTTCTAAGATGATTCCTAGGGCATTTTTTTATAATATGGGTCATCTGTGGTCCAAAACTAGATCACACAGCCTAAATATGGAAAAACCTCGTTAACACTTTAGAGGCTACTGATTTGCTCCAAATATCCAGGAAATTGGTTACAAAGGTTGTTCAGATAATTTCTAGCTCAAGTTCGAATATTAAGTTAAAAATTCAGTGCACTACTTCAGATGCAGATATAAATGTTATGATATTAGTTTAAGTTTATGGCATTATATCTACCTTTCATTCATTGCTAACAAATTTAATTCAGAACCTCAATAATCAGGTGAGCGATATAAGGCCATCATTGCACTCTTGTTTAAGCACTAACTCAACTGTTGTACGATACATGTTGCATAAATTTCAAATTTTAATAACATGAAGGATAGGATATTGTTTAAATAAAAGAAAGGAAATTAAAACCTGAAATCAGATAACTGTGAAGCAATCCCAGTCATCCAGTTGGTATACTTACACCTTTAACAAACAGGTAATTATCAAGTTAACTCTGGGGAATGTAAAGAAAATATCATCAGGTTTTTTTCTACTCTATTTTCTCTTTGATTATACAAGAAGATATTGCAAAAACACAGTAGATGCCCAATGGCGACCTCAGGTGCCTTATTTGCATTATTATGGGCACATTTAGCAGGCATCCGAGTTAAGAACCACAGACATATCACAAGCTAGCTGGATAGCTCCCTCACATGAAAGAATCCAAAATCCCTGGCAGAACTGACCCACAGCAGAGAAGGATAGGCAAGTGGTTTGAAGTAACTAAACTACTGCCATAAACCCCTGACAGTTCTCAAAAACCATTAATATATATAATTTAAGAGTAATTCCCCTTTGTTGTTTATCATATTGAATATTTGCACAGATGGTAAGTTGTTAAACAAGAGGGCCATGATGGCCCTAAGGTCGCTCACCTGAATTATCAAACTCATCCAAACAATTACCTAGACAAGCATTCTGACCAAGTCTCATGACAGGTGAGTCAAAAATGTGACCACTACAGTGTTAACAAGGATTTTCCATATTTGAGCAGTGCGACCTAGTTTTTTTACCCAGGTGACACATATTCAAACTTGACCTAGAAATCATCAAAACAAACTTTCAGACCAATTTCCAGGATACTTGGATCAAAACAGTAGCAACTAGAGTGTTAACAAGATTTTTCTATTTTTAGCTCCGGTGACCTAGTTTCACATGCGATTTCGAACTCATCCAAGCAATTACCTAGACAAAACATCCTGACCAAGTTTGATGATAATTGAGTCGAAAATGTGACCACTAGAATGTTAACAAGGTTTTTCCATATTTGGGCGGTGTGACCTAGTTTTTCATCCAAGATGACCCATGTTCGATCTTGACTTAGAAATCATCAAAACAAACTTTCAGACCAATTAACAGAATATTTGGATCACAACAGTAGCCACTAGAGTGTTAACAAGATTTTTTTCTATTTTTAGCTCCTGTGACCTAGTTTTTCATCCGAAATGTCCCATGTTCGATTTATTCCCAGCAATGACCTAGACAAGTTTCCTGACCAAGTTTGATGACAATTGAGTCAAAATTGTGACCACTAGAGTGTTAACAAGGTTTTTCTATTTTTAGCTCCTGTGACCTAGTTTTTCATCCGAGATGACCCATGTTCGAACTCATCCGAGCTATCACCTAGACAAGCATCTTGATCAAGTTTGATGATGATTGATGCAAAAATGTGACCGCTAAAGTGTTAACAAGGTTTTTCTATTTTTAGCTCTGGTGACCTACTTTTTCATCCGAGATGACCCATGTTCGAACTCATCCAAGCTATCAACTAGATAAGCATCCTGACCAAGTTTGATGATGATTGATGCAAAAATGTGACCACTAGAGTGTTCACAAGGTTTTTCTATTTATAGCTCCGGTGACCTAGTTTTTCATCCGAGATGACCCATATTCGAACTCATCCGAGCTAATATCTAAACAAGCATCCTGACAAAGTTTGATGATGATTGGGTCAAAAATGTGACCACTAGAGTGTTCACAAGGTTTTTCTATTTTTAGCTCCTGTGACCTAGTTTTTCATCAGAGATGACCCATGTTCGAACTCATCCAAGCAATTGACTAGACAAGCATTCTGACCAAGTTTGATGATGATTGGTTCAAAAATGTGACCACTAGAGTGTTCACAAGGTTTTTCTATTTATAGCTCCTGTGACCTACTTTTTCATCCGAGATGACCCATGTTCGAACTCATCCAAGCTATCACCTAGACAAACATCCTGACCAAGTTTGATGATGATTGGGTCAAAAATGTGACCTCTAGAGTGTTCACAAGGTTTTTCTATTTTTAGCTCTTGTGACCTAGTTTTTCATCCGAGATGACCCATGTTCGAACTCATCCGAGCTTTCAACTAGATAAGCATCCTGACCAAGTTTGATGATGATTGAGGCAAAAATGCGACCGCTAGAGTGTTCACAAGTAATTGTGGACGGCCGGACGGACGACGGACGACGGACGACGGACATTCACCGATCCTAAAAGCTCACCCTGAGCAAGCTCAGGTGAGCTAAAAAGTGTCACTATGACAAGTTATTGTATGTAACTTTAAAATCAGGGCTGCATCAATTTTGACACTGGGGAAAATAGTTCACATTATGTAGAGGAACACTTTATTATAAAAAGATATGACCATTATGGTCAAGGTCATTTAGAGGTTCAATCAAATTCACTGCAGGTTGTAGGATGGTGTTTTCAGTTCAAACAGCAAACAAAACAGAACTCTACAGAATTTAAATTAATCATTAATAACAGTTTGGACAAATAATAATGAAAAATAATTTAACAGCAAGGTCAAGGTCATACCTGACAAGTTTTATAAAAATTGAATGAGCAGTTCGCCAGTTTTATGAACATTCAATACTTTGACTTCAAGGTGGTGATTTTATCAAAAGTCTATAGTCCAAGTAAGAATCAAATCTGTCCACAATTACCAAAGTTTTAGCCATTTATAACATTTCAAATTTAAAATTAAAACAAAATTTAATGATTTTGCCATTGAGGGTCAAGGTCATTTTATGCTCAAGGTCTTGTTTGAATTTTTCAAGCTGTTAATTTTGCCCAGGTATGAACAAAATATGTCCAAAAATATCTCTAAGTTATGGCCAATATAACTAAAGTTCAGTAATTTTATCATGGAGGTCAGTCATATAAAGGTCAAGTTCAATTTAATATACTTGAAGGTATTTTTCAAAGCTGCGATACATCCAAGTACATTTAAAATTACAATCATCCATAGAAAAAATACCGTTTACAAATTTTTAGCAAAATTAAAGGATTTAACCTTGAAGGTCAATATGCGCAAGTAGACCTTTTTATACATTATTCCTCTCTAGTTTTATTTAAATTTGTAGAACTGTTTTGGATATGAAGCATAAACAAAATTGTGGCTAAGACAACCATATGGATAAAAATTCTTCAACCAGTATATCCCTCTAGTATAATTATGTCTTAAATCATTGAACAAATATTAGCTTTCTTGAACAAATATTTTTTATTGTTTCATCATTTACAAACCAGGTAAAATAAATTTTAGAGGGACTCCACTGAGACGTTTTAGCATGACTGGACTGGAAATATATTTTCTGAGATTTGTGTTCTAACTGATGAAGAACAGGACCAATAACTCGTGGTCAATCTCTCACCCCGTTGTTCGAAAATGATCATTTTTATTGCGCTAAATAACCCAAAAATGCTTTCCACTCAAATCCGACTAAGCATTAGACAAAATCTATTTTCAATTTCGATTTAATTCTGAGCATATCTCTGTGTTACCTGTTACAGAGTTTTCCATTTTAAGTGCTTCACTTGATATTTTTAGGATTTCAAATTTCATATTTTCAGGCCTTTGGACCTCAGTGGAGTTCCTTTAATTTACATAATTCACTGGAAATCATATTGCCTCATATTCCATTCTGTTGTACTCAAAATAACTGCAATTAAGATAACAGATTAGAAAAACTGAAAGTGAGGTAGTTTGAATTTCATCATTTATACAATTACACAATGTCTTTGAAAGACAATAGCACTGCATGTGGTGTTCAGGCTCGTCTGTTAAAAATTCTAAAGTAAAAAGGGGCATAACTCCAAAAATATTGCTTTTAGAATTATGCCCCTTGTGAACTGTCATGATAAGCATGTGAATTTATATACTTCTAAACGTAGTTAAAATTTGACCTTACTAACTCAGAATTGAAGGACAAAATTTCCTCATTCTATCACTGAAGGTAGAAATGCATATGTGTATACATTTTCTTGTATGTCAGTCAAAGTTGCATATGTGTATACATTTTCTTGTATGTCAGCCAAAAGTGCATATGTGTAAACACAGAGTTGTATCTTCAATCTCCAGTGTATTATATACACATTTTTAATTAAAGTCATGTGAACATAGCACTTTATGCATATGAGTTAACACGTTTGTCACATTTTCTCATATGTCATTGTATAATTACATGTTTTACACGTTTTAGAGTACACATCTTCATCATCATCGTATATTTCCTCACCAAATTCATGTTCGTGCGATCCTTTCTCCTTCTTCAATAGACTACTACGTACTGCTAACCTCAGATCTATTGTAATACAAAATGACAGATATAATATGAGCCGCGTCATGGCAAAACCAACATAAAGGGTTTGCGACCAGCATGGATCCATCTGCGCATCTGTGCAGTCTGACCAGGATCCATGCTGTTCCCTTACCAACTCTATTTCAAGTAGAGAAAATGATAGCAAACAGCATGGATCCTGATCAGACAGTGCGGATGTGCTGGCTGTTCTTGCAAATGCACTACGTTGGTTTTGTCGTGACGCGGCTCAAATATATTACTTTATCATACAACATAAGATCGCATCTCACAAATCACATTTAATTTAGAAGTCAAATCTTTTATGTACCATCAAACATCGTATAAAGTAGGGATTATGTTTCTGGGCAACTTTGCCGAAATGTCTCCTCGTCGCCCTCCATTTTGCCAACTTTGCTTAGAAAAGTGAAAACAGAGTTACCCATATTTAAATAAACACATGCATTTATTTCAGAAGGGTTAAGATTTAAATTTACCACATTGCATTTCAAAACTTTCAAAGCATATTTTCTTTATTTATCAATTGGCTAGTCTCAAGTCATTCATTTTGGGTTATAGCGTTACCAGATAAACATATTGAACTTTTCCAGGTTGAAATTTTAATACAGAAAATCAAACAAGCTTTCATTCTAGTACCTTTAACTTTCTTGTCAAATTTTTTTTGTTTGGCCTTTTCCTTGTTTTCTTGTCTCATATTCCTGGCTTCTTCTATCTTCTCTTCACTTTCCCACACCTCTAAACTTCTTTTTTTTACCTGAAACAACATTTGAGCCGCGCCATGACAAAACCAACATAATGGGTTTGGAACCAGCATGGATCTAGACCAGACTGCCCCATGACAAAACCAACATAATGGGTTTGGAACCAGCATGGATCTAGACCAGCCTGCGCATCCGCGCAGTCTGATCAGGATCCATGCTGTTCGCCTACAAACCCTATTACAAGTAGAGAAACTGAAAGCAAACAGAATGGATCCTGATCAGACTGCGCAGATGCACAGGCTGGTCTGGATCCATGCTGGTCGCAAACACATTACGTTGGTTTTGTCATGGAGCGGCTCATTTTTATCTGTACTATCAAAATTTATGACATGAACAGCCTCCTTTGCTCTATAGGGACTGATTCAGCGGTAACTGGTTTGGTTAAAAAAAATTTTATTCAAGCTCAATTGAGAAACAAGTTCTCGGAACTTAAGTTAATCACTTTAAAGTGTGCTTCCTGGAATCTACCTGTACTCAAATGTCATATAAAGGGACATGGTTGTGACCTGATTATTGCTCAAACTCATGATCCTTGTGTTGAGAGGCAGACACCTAAACCACTAGGCCACCACTTCCAAGTGGTTGGTGATTTTATCCTTGGGCAAATGAACTTTCTCTGTGTCAATTTGACTTAACATTGAGTTTCTTAATCATTTGTCTCACATCTCACATACTTATTGTTAATTATGCTAATTTAAGAATAAAGATAGTTCAAACCATTTCAACCCTTATACTGCTAAATAATCATCTTTAATAATATACTTTAATTGTTATCTGATTTACGGTAAACTTATATCAACCTTTTAATTATTGAAATAAAGATACTACCGGGTTATATTTTTTCACAAGTCATTTCACGATGATCAAAAGGTGCATACCTTTCTATTGTTGCGCATTATATTTGTTTGCAAGCAAACAGTATATTTGTTTGTAATTACTACACAGTTTTGCAGTGACGACGATAAACAATTCAATTCAAATTTTATTGCAATTTTCGACAAAACTTTACCTGTGGCAATACATACAAAACATACTTAAATCACTTGAAATATGACATACATTCAATACAAATATACAATGTTCACATAAAATGCAGAAACATATCAAATTTACAATTCTTGTATTGTTTCTAAAACACTAGATCTTAATGTGAATGCTTTATCTAACAAGAGCTGTCGGTAGGACAGCAACGCTCGACTATTCTTAGTGCTTGATAGTAAAAAAAAATGCTTGATACAGTTACCTCCTCCTGTTTACAGGTTGGGGTCATGATGGTGAACAAATGTGCTAAGTTTCAAAGCCATATGTCAATGGACTTTGAAAATATTTGAACTATTACAAAAACTTTAACGTAAATTCTAAGTCGAAAAAGGGGCATAATTCTGTCAAAATGCTTAATAGAGTTACCTCCTCCTCCTGTTTACAGGTTGGGGTCATGATGGTGAACAAGTGTGCAAAGTTTCAAAGCCATATGTCAATGGACTTTGAAAATATTTGAACTATTACAAAAACTTTAACGTAAATTCTAAGTCGAAAAAGGGGCATAATTCTGTCAAAATGCTTGATAGAGTTACCTCCTCCTGTCTACAGGTTGGGGTCATGATGGTGAACAAGTGTGCAAAGTTTCAAAGCCATATGTCAATGGACTTTGAAAATATTTGAACTATTACAAAAACTTTAACATAAGTGGTTACGCCGACGCCGACGCTCGGGTGACTACAATAGCTCTACTTATTCTTATCGAATAGTCGAGCTTAAAATTTACTTAGTTGCAATATTCTACTTTTATTTCCTGGTGACATAATAGAATAGAACTTTTTTAAGGTGACAACGGAGTCAATTATCACTGAAAATACCTAAAATGAGATTTTTTGCTAAGAAGATTTATCAACCTTTTCTGAACACATTCGTGATTTAATTTTGGAAGCAGTTAGTCCGAAAAATGTGTTTTTAAACGTTTTAAAACGGTACCTATACTAATTGTATCTGTTATTTGCCTAACCTGTAGATTATCGATAACGCTCCGCCCCCTGTTGAGGCATCAATGAGGGAAATCGGTAGTTCCATATATCCGTGAATTACAGGTCCATACTGGTCCATACTTCTCGTAATACAAGTATCGTACAACTACTGTACATCTTTTATGAATATCTCAACATTTAGCCTTTTTTATAAATTAAGAAATTGTCGGCCAATGTACGTAACATAATGTATGAAACATAAATAATTAAGCATAGCGGCAAATCGCACGACCACGGGGTTGATTAACAAGAGCTGTCGGTAGGACAGCATGCTCGACTATTCTTAGTGCTTGATAGTAAAAAAAATGCCTGATACAGTTACCTCCTCCTGTTTACAGGTTGGGGTCATGATGGTGAACAAGTGTGCAAAGTTTCAAAGCCATATGTCAATGGACTTTGAAAATATTTGAACTATTACAAAAACTTTAACATAAGTGGTTACGCCGACGCCGACGCTCGGGTGACTGCAATAGCTCTACTTATTCTTATCGAATAGTCGAGCTAAAAATGTAGTTGCTAAAATATACATAATGTGTGAAAATAATTTGTCTGTCCCGTTAATCTGATAGATATTACATTGAGTTGATAGACTTTAGTACGGATTCAAGGGCTTACTTTACATTCAACCTCGTTTTCTTACAATGTCAAGTAAAACAACAACAAAAACAGACAACATTTTTTATATGAAGGCCTATATGACTTGTGGTAAGGTGTTCCTGACAAATTTCTAAACCATTTTAGATTGTCTAAGGATGATTACTTCTCTATGAATAAAAAAAGATATTAAAATATATTCTCAGTTAAAATAAATTGAACGCCAGTAAATCGGACACAGTACTAATAAATCTGGGACAAAGTATGTAATTTATTGTCTATCCCGGTAGAAACTGGATCTCTATGCCGTGCATAGATGATATTCATGATAATAGAAGTCAAGAAGGCCAGATCATAATGATTGAGTTATACCTTTTATTTTTATTAAAATATGTGAAGCATTATCAATTTGGTGGAAAAAATATATAATATCCCGTTCTTATTTGTACATCTACCATGGACTTTAAAAGACTGTCAGAAGCTCAGTTTGTTGTTATTTTATTTTATATTTTAACGGAATTTCATACACGAATACACAGGCAGAGGGACACTGGTATAATACAATAATAATGCTGCTGATAATAATAATAAACTTCAACAAGAGCTGTCGGTAGGACAGCATGCTCGACTATTCTTAGTGCTTGATAGTAAAAAAAATGCCTGATACAGTTACCTCCTCCTGTTTACAGGTTGGGGTCATGATGTTGAACAAGTGTGCAAAGTTTCAAAGCCATATGTCAATGGACTTTGAAAATATTTGAACTATTACAAAAACTTTAACGTAAATTCTAAGTCGAAAAAGGGGCATAATTCTGTCAAAATGCTTAATAGAGTTACCTCCTGCTGTCTACAGGTTGGGGTCATGATGTTGAACAAGTGTGCAAAGTTTCAAAGCCATATGTCTATGGACTTTGAAAATATTTGAACTATTACAAAAAAACTTTAACGTAAATTCTAAGTCGAAAAAAGGGCATAATTCTGTCAAAATGCTTGATAGAGTTACCTCCTCCTGTCTACAGGTTGGGGTCATGATGGTGAAACAAGTGTGCAAAATTTTTCAAAGCCATATGTCAATGGACTTTGAAAATATTTGAACTATTACAAAAACTTTAACGTAAATTCTAAGTCGAAAAAAGGGGCATAATTCTGTCAAAATGCTTGATAGAGTTACCTCCTCCTGTCTACAGGTTGGGGTCATGATGGTGAACAAGTGTGCAAAGTTTCAAAGCCATATGTCAATGGACTTTGAAAATATTTGAACTATTACAAAAACTTTAACATAAGTGGTTACGCCGACGCCGACGCCGACGCTCGGGTGACTGCAATAGCTCTACTTATTCTTATCGAATAGTCGAGCTAAAAAGGAAACAATTAAATACCCCGCTAGCGGTGCGCAAATGCGTTCCATTTCCCCCCACTGAGTGCCTCAAATTTTACCGATAGTCACGTGACATGTGCGACAGATACCAGACGGACAGTAAATCACGTTAAGAATTGAAGAAATTTCAGCTAACTGAATAAATCGATATAATATCTATACCTCACAATTTAAAGCAGCATGCCTCCAAACTTATGCTAATTTTCATGAAAATTTTTAAAACATATTTAAAATTCAAATATACTGTCAAATGAACAAAGAAAATAATTTACACACTGCAAACGGCACTTACAATCCACAAATATTACCAAAAGGATGTAAATAGCCCTTACTGTGTCATGCAGTATAAGTAAATACGTCAAAATCAGTCATTGCACATAACCTGTAAATTATCACTTGAATCTTGAAATTTTAACTTTTCTTTAAATTTTAGAACATTTTTCAATTTTTTTAAATTTTCTTAAAATATTTTGGCTCATCTGGAGGCATGCAGCTTTAATATCAAATATTTCATAACAAAACTGTCAATGTCCTTCTGAAGTTCAGCCATTAATTATGTCTTAAAGGTCGTTATACACATGTCATGTAAACGTGAGTGTCCATTCCAATTATAGATCACTTTTTTTTTTGTTTCAAGTCACAAGACACATAATTATTATTGTTCCAGAAGGGGATTCTTAATATTATTTTCTGAAATATGCAATAATCAAAGACATTACTATAAAAACATTCAAAATTCTAACCTGAGTAAAACAGTTTGCTTACAACAACTATTTTACGACCATTTCTTGGAATTTAAACCACGAAGGTTAAGCACAAATGGTTGGAAACCTGAAAAAATATCTGTGTGATCAGTGATATTTTTTCCAGCATATTTTACAGTTTTATAGACTTTTTCCTCTATCTAACAGGCTATTTCTTCTAGCCAACAAGATCTTTTCTCCTAGCCAAAAAAATGCTATATAACTTTCTTAGTTTCTCCTAGCCAACAGGCTCTTTTCTCCCAGCCAAAAAATTTCTATATAACTTTCCAAAAAATTGTAGTGTTTTCCTCCTGAACAGAAAGTTTAAATGACTAGTTCAAACCCTTGCAGTGACCTTAACTTTTAAACTAGAGACCTGAGTCTTGCATGCTGCACATAATCTAATAGTGGTCTTATATACACAAAATATTTAGAAATTCCATTCATGCATGCAAAAGTTAAAAACCCTGGACACAAACCTTACGACCAGCCTTTATGGCATTTAAAGCCCAACCCTTTTGTGTAAACCTTTTTTGAGTAGAGCCCGGATTTGCATATGACAATTATTCATATATGGTCTTTTTCCGAAAAATTTTGAATCATGATGAAAAGTTAAGGAAATAAACAAAGTGAACAAGGGCGATCGATGATCACATGTGTCGCCTCATGATAGCCAATTGCATGTTGCAGGTAAAAACAAAAATCATTTACAGGGCAAAAAGCGTTCTTAATTCAAGGGCAATAACTCAGCCAACTAGAACTATCGCTGAATGCGATTCATACCCCCACCAATGTCCTTGACAGAAGACCACTTTGAAAGGTGGTTAAGGGAATAACTTATGTGGCACAAATACATAAAAAGAAATTATCTCTGGTGAAAAAAAGATTAATTGTACAGGTAATAGTATAAATATATATTATCAAATCATGGTCGAAACAGTTACAAATAACCTTTCATTTTCCCAATGTATTAAACATTTTATTATAAGTCAATTTTTGACCTTCAAGGTGTGGCCTTGACCTTAATCTGGCACAAGGTAAGATGGGTTTTGCACATCACCCAGTTTGGTTGAACATTTGAGTAAAGTTTTGAAGAAAATCCTTCCATTAGTATAGAATTTATAGAGTAGACACAATATATTGTCTAGTATTGGTTGTATGTAAATTTGAAGACTTAAAAAGGGGCATAACTTTGTCAAAAATGCAATACAGAGTAATGAAACTTGACCTGCATATCTTATTTGGCACACCTCATATATCTTTTAAGTTTCAAGCAAATGCCTGCGCTAGTTTCATAATTATATAAGTACATGTTAAAATTTAAGAACATTTTCTGACTTTTCTGTCAATTTTTTGACTTTCAAGTTTGACCTTGACCTTTAGCCGGCACAAAGGTGACAAGGATTCTGCACATAACCCTTGTTGAGCGTGAAAATTATGAGTAAAGTTGAAGAAAATTCTCAATTAGTATAGGATTATAGAGCGGACAAACAATTGTCTAAATTTTACGTGTATTAAATTTGAAGACTTAAAAAGGGGCATAACTTTGTTAAATGCAAACAGAGTTATGAAACTGAACGAACAGCATATGGAATTGTGACCCTCCAAAAATATTTTAATTTCAAGCAAATACCTTTTTCTAGATGAGAAAATTAAATAAAAATGTTAAAATTTTTAAAGAATATTTTGACCTTCAAGTGTGACCTTGACTTAAGCCAGCAAAAGAGTGAATTAAGTTCTGCCACAATCCCCTGGTTGAATGAAGACATTTGAGCCAAGCATGAAGAAAATCTTTCAATTAGTTAGGGCTTCAGAAGCGGAAACATGACATACTGTGTAATATTAGATTTTTGATATTTGACCTTCATTGTGACCTTGACCTTGAGCTGACACATGGGTTCTGCACATCCCCTGGTTGAGGTGAATATTGAGTCAAGTTTGAAGAAAATCCTTCAATTAGTGTAGGGCTTACAAAGCGGACACAACATACTGTGTAATATTTAATTGTTTGATATTTGACCTTCAAATTGTGACCTGACCTTGAGCTGACACATGGGGGCGACATGGGTTCTGCACATCCCTTGTTGAGGTGAACATTTGAGCCAAGTTTGAAGAAAATCTTTCAAGTAGTGTAGGACTTACAGAGCAGACACGACACATACTGTGTAATATTTAATTGTTTGATATTTGACCTTCAATTGTGACCTTGACCTTGAGCTGACACATGGGCAACATGGTTTCTGCACATCCCCTGCTTGAGGTGAACATTTGCAGCCAAGTTTGAAGAAAATCTTTTTCAAAGTAGTGTAGGACTTACAGAGCGGACACAACATACGTGTAATATTTGATAGTGTTTGATATTTGACTTCAATTGTGACCTTGATCTTGAGCTGACACATGGGCAACATGGGTTCTGCACATCCCCTTGTTGAGGTGAATATTTGAGCCAAGTTTGAAGAAAATCTTTCAATTAGTGTAGACTTACAGAGCGGACACAACATACTGTGTAATATTTGATTTGTTTGATATTTGACCTTCAATTGTGACCTTGACCTTGAGCTGGCACATGGGCAACATGGTTCTGCACATCCCCTGGTTGAGGTGAACATTTGAGCAAAGTTGAAGAAAATCTTTCAAACCAACAATGTAGCGTAGGAATTACAGAGGCGGACACGACATACTGTGTAATATTTGATAGTGTTTGATATTTGACCCTTCAATTGTGACCTTGACCTTGAGCTGACACATGGCAACATGGGTTCTGCACATCCCCTTGTTGAGGTGAACATTTGAGCAAAGTTTGAAAGAAAATCTTTCAAGTAGTGTAGGAATTTACAGAGCGGACACGACATACTGTGTAATATTAATTGTTTGATATTTGACCTTCAAATTGTGACCTTGACCTTGAGCTGACACTGGGCCGACATGGGTTCTGCACCATCCCCTTGTTGAGGTGAACATTTGAGCCAAGTTTGAAGAAAATCTTTCAAGTAGTGTAGGACTTACAGAGCGGACACAACATACTGTGTAATATTCATAGTGTTTGATATTTGACCTTCAAATTGTGACCTTGACCTTGAGCTGACACATGGGCAATATGGGTTCTGCACATCCTCTTGTTGAGGTGAACATTTGAGCCAAGTTTGAAGAAATCCTTCCAATTGGTATGGAGTTATAAAGCGGACACGAAAATGGAGACGGACCGACGGACTGACCGACCGACCGACGGACGGACCGACGCGACAAAGCGAATCCATTATAGCCCCCCCCACATTTTGTGGTGGGGGTATAAAAATCATTCAACTGGAAAATCCTTGTGATATGAGCAAGCACTAGAGCTACCAATTAATCTTGTAAAGTTTCATTGAAATTGCATTAATGGTATAAGAAGTTTAGTAGCCTGGACAAATCTTAAAGTAAAAATCATTTAAAGACCTTAACTCTGACAAAAAAATCATTGAAAAAAAAAAAAAATGGAGAAAAAAAATGAACAAACAAGTATGATCATTTCGCTTGAATGAAATTTGCACCATAGAGAGGGTACACAATTTCTATGAGCGACGAAGGACAGTCAGACAGATGGGAAAGACAGAGATGAGGAGTATCCAGACAAGTTTTGTGACATAAAGGGAAAGTCGGAACAGTGAACAATCAGACTGAGATCGACGAGAAGTGTCCCCCATATGTACTCCACCCTGTTGTTAAATAGATCAAAGAAAATGGACCATTACCTATTGTTCTCCAAATCACACATGTACCTTTGTGTTTGCATGGACAGACAAATAAATAGACAGACAGACGACGGAGAAGTGATCCTTTTATGTCGCCACTACTCTCAAGAGGTGTCACAAAAATGTTTTATCCCCCTACTGTAACCTTTACCTTTGAGTTAAGAGCCTGAGACATCATCTACTTAAAGTGGTCATAATGTAGCAGTTTATTTTAAAATCCCATCAAGAATGCACAAGTTATGAATCGGGCACAATGAGTGAATGTAAATTTCTTCTAACACATACACATGTAATGTAACTATTAAAACAGCTGATTTTTAAGTTTGTGAATTACCTTATTGTGAACAATGGGACCATTTTAATATAAAAAAAAAAATTTTTTAAAAAAAAGATCCATAGTTCACACAGGTTGACAGCATGTACAACTTTTGGTTTACCATCCTAAATCAGGGATTGACATTTAATACAGCCAAATAAAAAACAGAAATATTTCATTATACATGATACATATGTGTATAATGTAGATTGTATACACCTGCAAGATGAAATAAAAAGTTATATTTTCACCTGAACCAAAGAAAGTTTAAAAATCTCATTCACTATGATATATTTATTCATAATTCATATTGTTTATTAACTGTAAAGAATCAATAAACAAATATCTTGTTAAAGGTCATCTTTTAGCACCTTGTAGATAGCATACGTAAGTTTCAGCATGGCTGTTATAGTTTATGCAAATGAAGAGAAACGAGGAGGAGCTTATATCAATGATGTCAGTAACAAGGAGGAGCTAATATTGATGATGTCAGTAGGAAATTTGACTGACCATATATAAACCCTTATGAGACCTTTCTGCAACAAAAGTGCCTTAGGTACACTAAGAGTTGAAATCTTATCAGAAAATTATATTGGAGCCGTGATCCAGACATTCCGTCGCAATACAGTGGAGAAAGCAGGTATTGTGCATTAATTTTTAATTTTGAACTTATATTTTACATTCGTGATTCAAATGTTTAATAACGTAATTTCAATGTGAAAACCTCTTTAACAATCTGAACATAAATGATAGTTTACATTATAATATCTGTGTCAAACTTTGTCTCACATTTTTTTTTTCTTCAGAATATTGTTCAGATTTTTATCATCATCAACTTATTAATTTAAAGTTGTGTGTTTGAGTACCACTGATATTATGCAATCTAAAGTATTCTTTAATTATACACCATTGCTAAAGTCTTAATTGTTAGTCATTTTAAGTTGGCTCTGAAAAAATGAATTTTATTTTAAACACCTTTATAACTGAACTTGGAAAAAAAAATGCAAATCAAATTTGCAAACTTTAAGTTCTCGTTAGCTTTAGCTTATGATAAACTTGTTATTTAATCAAATGTTAATATTTATTTTCAGTTTGGAAAAAAAGAAAAACAATGGCATCGATGTTTTTACTCAGTTTATTACTCTTGACCAGTACTTTGTACATGGTGAAGTCGGAGGATGAAGAAGTTATATACTGCGCAGTATGTTTATTCCATTTTCTCAAACCAAAGCACTGTGACTGCAGTTATTATCATCATCGATGGTCAACGATGAACTTCAAAGAAGAAAATTCACCTGCTTTACAGGAGAGCAGAAGACAAAAAGTCAGGCATCAGAAACAGGTACAAAGACATCAGCGCCTCTACTTTATCGGAAAATGATTGGTCAAAAACTGGACATGAGCAAAACTGGTAATAAAAATCTGTGAACTTTTTTCTGTGAACTTTTTAGCTGTGTATTTACAGAATTATACCTCTATAATTGTTTGTAACTTTTATGAAAAGTTGTGAACTATTTTGTTGTGTGTATTTACTGTAATGTGCCTCTATTGTAAACTTTATTTTGCCATTCATTGATGTCTTACGCATAAACTGTGAAAGTCTTTTTTCAAAATCTTAAATAAGTTATGTAATGTAAATAATATGTTGTAAGATATTGTAAACCGTAAATAAATATGTTAAAATGATGAAGATTGTTATTTTTCTTTTCTCCCATGCGGGCATTGTGCCATTAACTTCATTTTGAATTGCATTAGAGTCATGTTTATTTGCTTGTTGGATTTGTAAGTAACTCTGGTAATTTAAATGGTTTTGTAAGTGCCGTTTGCAATATATGTAAATTACTTTCTTTGTTTTTAGTTCAAAACATTATGCTTTAATACATAAAAAATAGCATGTAGTCCAGGCATGCTGCTTTAAGATCACAATTATAAACAATAGTTTTACCAATTCACCAGCTTTATACACTTTAAAAAGTTCATAACATTAAAAACTAGAACTGTGTCCAAAGGACATGGTATGCCCCCACTGAAAACATTACATGGTATATAAGTGAAAAAAAGCAACAAAGGGCCATAATTCTGTTAAATTTGGTTGCAGCAAAAATTCCCCTTCCTTTACTACCATCTACACATTTAACGTTGTTCATCCCGGAAAGTTTAAGCAAAATCTGCCATCCGGTTTAAGAGGAGTTGCGTTCACAAGATTTCGGACTTGTACGGATGACGGACGGACAGATGTACAGTGGACAAGTGCAACGCTATATGTCCCCACTTTGGGGGCATAAATAGTTTTCCTACGTATTATTTCAAATTTATTGACTTTGGTCGGATATTTCCTCTAAAACAAATAGGGATATTACCCACCTGTTTCTAGGAAAAGTTCATATCACCCATCGTTGATTTGTGTGATTTTCGGAAAATAAATTTCAAGGGCTCCCTTATATAAAGTCGGCTTTTTAACAGGTACTTTTTCTTGTTCTGTTTTAAGTAATCAATGTGAAATTTGTCTTAAATCTGATCTAAAGAAGGAAAAGATTTGTGTTGGTAAACAAAAATGCCCCCGGCCCGGATTTTTAAAATTTTTAAAATGCTATATAATGCAAAGTTAATAACTTTATACCCGGGGGGCATAAAAAGGTTAATATGAGAGCCACTATCTCCTTCAAGAATAGAAACATGGGTCAAGTGGGGTTTACACTGTATGTAGTGGTAACAGGTGTGGTGATATAACAATGAAAGGTAAAGGGAAACTGTATATGTCCCGTGGAAAATGGTGTAGCAAGTGGGAACAGTATAAAGGTTCCCGTGGATCATTCCAAAATCCAGTGGGAAAGTGCATAGGTTCCCCTGGTAAATTGCAAAGGGGCAAAAAGTAACATATATAGGTCCAGTGGGAAAATTTCAAAGGTCCAAGGGGCCGTAAGGTCCAGAGAAATTGCAAAGTTCCATTGTACACTGAAGGTCCGTAGTCATTGCAAAAATTCCCGTGAAAACTGTATGTCCCGTGGGAAATTCAAAGGTCCCAAAGTAAATGTTGGGCCCCTGTAAACTTAAAATCCCGGGTAAAAATGTAAAGGGGCCAGGTAACATGTAAAGGGGGATGGGAAGGTTTAAAAGGGCAGTGGTTAAGGGTGTAAGGTCCAAATGGTAAACACTGTAAAGGGCCCATGGTAACAGTTAAAGGTCCAGTGGTAACAGTGTAAAAGGTCCAGTGGTAACAGCTGTAAAGGCCAGTGTAACAGTGTAAAGGGCAGTGGTAAACGGTGTAAGGGCCAGTGGTAAGGTGTAAGTCCAATGGTAACACTGTAAAGGCCAGTGGTAAGGTGTAAAGGTCCATGTAACACTGTAAAGGGCCGGTGTAAGGGTGTAAAGGGCCTCCAATGGTAACACTTAAAGGTCCAGTGGAACAGTGTAAAGGCCAGTGGAACAGGTTTTAAAGGCCAGTGTAACGGTGTAAAAGTCCAGTGTAAGGTGTAAAGGTCCAATGGTAACACTGTAAAGGCCAGTGGTAACAGTGTAAAGGTCCCAGTGGGTAACAGTGTAAAGTCCAGTGGGTAAACAGTTGTAAAGGGCCAGTGGTAACAGTGTAAAAAGGGCCAGTGGTAAACGGTGTAAAGGGCCAGTGTAAGGGGTGTAAAGGTCCAATGGTAACACTGTAAAGGCAGTGGTAAGGGTGTAAAGTCCAATGGTAAACACTGTAAAGGGCCAGTTTGGTTAAGGGTGTAAAGGCCAATGGTAAACACTGTAAAGGGGCCAGTGGTAAGGGTGTAAAGGGCCAGTGGTAACGGTGTTGTTAAAGGGCCAGTGGTAAGGTGTAAAGGTCCAATGGTAACACTGTAAAGGGCCAGTGGTAACGGTTGTAAAGGGCCAGTGGTAACGGTTTCTGTAAGAGGCCATGGTAACTGGTGTAAAGGCCAGTGTAACTGGTGTAAAGGGCCAGTTGGTAAGGGTGTAAAGGTTGTCCAATGGTAACACTGTAAAGGTCCAGTGGTAACGGTTGTAAAGGGCCAGTGGTAACGGTGTAAAGGGCCAGTGGTAAACACTGTAAAGGGTCGCAGTGGTAACGGTGTAAAGGTCCAGTGGTAACGGTGTTTAAGGGCCAGTGGTAACGGTTGTAAAGGGCAGTGGTAACGGTAAAGGGCCAGTGGTAAGGGTTGTAAAAGGTCCATGGCATTACTTTCAAAGGCTCTATTGGTAACAGCGTATAGGTCCAGTGGAGACACTAAATTGGTCCAGTGTTAAAATTGCAAATGTTTTAAAACAAAATATTAAAATATATTAATGTCCAGTGGTAACACTGCACCGGTTCAGTGGTAACACTGCATATGTCCAATGGGAACTGTTTTTTCCAGTGAACACAGTTTTTGTGTGGTAAGAAAAATGTTCTAGGTAACACTGTATAGTCTACTTTTCATTTCTACAAAAACATGAATACATGCACTTAACACAGAAAAATTTGAAAAAAGCTGAATTTTTTCGCTGCCCTGGTTCCGGGCACTTTCCCTGAAAAAAAACGGCTTTTTTGGAAATCCTAAACCCAAAAAGGCTATGACCTATGAGCATATATACTGCAAATAAAATTTTACCAAAAAAATTTTTTTTTTGAAAAAAGATACTTATTATGTTTTCCTTAATTTCCCAAACCCTGGGCCCGTGCGACCCCAAAAACTGGCACAAATTTTGGAGTTTTATATGGTTCACTTTCTATATATTTTGAAATTTACCCTAAAAATGATCAATAGTCTGGTCCAGATTGAAAGACGGGCAGGTTCATTAAGGATATTTAGTGTGGTAAGGGTTAAATATTATTATCATGTCAACATTACTACATTGTTGGTTTGGTTTTACGTTGCACCAATACAATTTAGGTCATATCATGCCAATAATTCAAAACCTATTTAGTTGCCTCTTACGATCACACATGGATAAATGGTGGCTGCAATTCTGATGCCTTCACTCACAAAGGCAACCCCTCAGCCACAAGGGATTACTACATTGTAAATGTGATACAGGTCCAGAGAAAGTTTTTTATAAGAATCACATTGTTTATAACTACTGGATCCCCACTTTCCTTACAGTACTTACCTGCAAGCATCACATATTGGCTCATCAAATTTTGTATAAAAGTATGAGTCCATGAACTCCTTCTGGCAAGACTCACAAAACAAACTGTCTACTTCCAACACTGGACCTGATTCAAGAACAAAAAACAGATTATTTAATACGAAAAACAGATAGGGCAATCATGTGCATAATTATTACACAGCATGAAAAAAGAATGCTTACACGTCAGATACGACATCAATAAACGAAATGACCTCAGGAAAAATAATTCTACGCTCATAAATGTAGTTCAATTCTTTTAACAATCTTCTTTTTTATTAGCATGTTAGAATTGAAACAGATATCAATTTTTCATGCATTATAGTATAATAAATAATGCACGGTTTTTCGTTTTAAATGCTATGTAATTAATCACTCAGACTTATTTTCCATCGTTATTACATGTGATTATATGTATATCCCTACGCATTTGAACTCAAACCATGCATTATTCTACAACAATGCACTCAGAGCCCAGGATGGGATGATGAAAATTAGACTGCAATTAGACTCCAGGTGTTATGCATTAAACAAAAATAATTTCAGAAATTTCAGATAGATGCTGGTTACATGCAAGTGACATGCGTATGCTGGTCAAAATTTTTTTAATAGAGGTGTGCTGGTTAAATATAGGTGTCATACTGATGATAGTAATTTCATAGAGGGATGCTGGTTACAGGCATTCCTGTTTTTACAAACCTATAATGGTTTTTGAGAAAACGTAAATATAAATATTAAAATATAATATACATGTATAGTCAAATAAGGGAAGCAAAAAAATGCTTTTAGGATTATCTCCTCATACAAATGCATTTCAAATTTGATTGTGAACATAATTATAACATCTTTTAAGAATAAAAAAGAGAGAGCAAAAACAAGGGGCATAGCCATAACTTTGCAAAAATGAATTTTAGGATTATCTGCCCTACTGAAATGGTATCATATTTGAAAGTTAAGATGTATATCAAGTCCGAAGTGGATTTCTTTGATAGTTACTTAGAAAATGGACCTTTACAAGAAGTTTAACCAGGACTAAAATCTAGGCTTGCTCGCCCATAGGGTCTCTTTCCGGTGACGAGGGTAAAAACAAAACGCAAACACACAAAAAAAATCTCGGTTGAAAAGGGAATATAACTTTGTAAAAAAAAAAAATCAGGATTATGTGAAAATCGACCTAAACAGTGCTGGTGCCAACAAGAAAGCTCCACATTTTTTCTTCAAAACATGGAGCCTAAAAATTACATGTATATATGCCTTGTAACTTTCAACATTCAGTCAAAGCCCCGTGACTTAAAACAAACCTTCAAGGACAATATATACATGTTGCTCATTTTTATCACAAACAATTTTTTTTTTACCAGTGAGATGACCACCTCGAAGAAATGATGACGCAGGTTGTGTAATTACTGACAGACCAATGCATTGAGATGTTCAAAACATCTATCATAATAGCTCAACTATTTCTTCAAAACAAAAAAACTTACCTTGATTATTCAAATTGCCAGGAACTAAAAATTTACATTCAATAATCAATGGGTTTCAATATTCCAAATCTGAATATGATTTCATTTTGAATTTTAAACAATAGAACCACATGCAGTGATAATGCTTGTCTGTTGAAAATTCTAAGTTAAAAAGGGGCATAGCTCCAACAATATTGCTTTAGAAATTTTTCCCCTTCTCTAACAACTGCACCTTACCATGATAAGCAGGTATTCCAGGTTTCATGTTGATACACCTTTAAAATGTCTGAATAATTGACTACATTAAAGTTTTTAGACAACAACAACAACAATGGCAATGCTGCAGCGGTTTACTAACTAATTAATACATGGCAATTTTCCCACAATTCCCCATCCCCCTCCCCCACACCCATTACAAATCTGATGCACTCCCCGATCTCTATTGAGCCTAATGGGCATACTAACTGCCATTTGTTTTTTTTGATGGAATTCCAATTAATTAAAATATCAGGAAGGATCATCACAGTTTGTTCCTTGATTTCTGGCTATGTTTTACAGGAAAATATACATAATTAATTGTATGATATAATATTAATACATAATGTATATACATGTAGTTATCTATGTGTTTTTATTTGCTTAGAATGCTGTTTACAATTCATTAACTTAGATTAAAACAGTCAATATGTGTTGTTATGTATTTGAAAATAAGTTATATTCAGGAAATACTTTTCTATTATAATAAACAAGATAATTTTACAAAGGAAAAACATGTTGTCAGTTTATATAAATAACATTCTGAATACCTTAAAGCAGCGTGACTCCAGACAAGCTAAAATATTTGAAGAAAATAAAACTTGAGAAAAATTTGCATGTACTAAAATTTGAAAAAAAAAAAGTAAAAAAAAAATAAAAATTTAAGTTATAATTTACAAGATATGTGTGATAAATGACTGATTTTTTCTGAATTTAATATCACTAAATAACTACTGCATTACTACTGTAAGAGTTATTTTTCTATGTTTTTGGACTTGTAAGCACTATTTGCAATGTGTATATTTGTACATTTGTTCGGCTCACACTATTTTACTTTTAAATACAGATTCAAACTGTTCGTGAAAATAGCTGAATAAGCAGGGAATCGGGAAAGCATGCTGTTTTAAATACTTATATGAGGGATGACCGACTTTAGTAATTTAAAATATAAAATAAAAAAAAGGGCTTTTCCCCGTTTGGAATATTCTCAGGTTGTTTACACTCAAATTAGTAAAACAGAAAAGGAGAAAATATAATTTTGGTTTCGAAAAGACAAACAAAAAGAAGGAGTTTAAAAAAATGGCCCCGGGTTTTATTTTACAAAACCCAAAATAAATGCGTTTGCGACCAGCATGGATCCATACCAGCCTGCGCATCCGCGCAGTCTGATCAGGATCCATGCTGTTCGCTATCAGTTTCTCTTCTTGTAATAGGGTTTGTAGGCGAACAGCACTGATCCTGATCAGACTGCGCGGTTACACAGGCTGGTCTCGATCCATGCTGGTCGCAAACACACTATGTTGGTTTTGTCATGACACGGCTCAAATGGTTAAGCCATGATCATTTCACCATATAGCATAGCATATTCTTGATCAGATGTCAAGGGAAGTAATTTCAAAGAACATGGCATCTTCATGATTTAAATTATCTTAACTTCATTTTTTTTTTTTTTTTCAATTGTGTTAGAAATAAAACAGACATTTTTAAAGATTTGAATGGTGACTTTCCAGCTTAACCGGTGGACAAAGACCTTAGGTGCCTGACTCTGTATTATTCAAAGCACAAGCAGACACCTGATAACTTCCTCACATGAAAGTATCCAAAGTCCCTCGCAGGATTTGCACCCACAGCAGTGAGGGTTTAGTGGTAAGAAGTCAATTACAATAACCCCTAGACAACTTATACTCGGTCATCAAGTTATATAAACATGACATCTGTGGCATCAATTTTAAAGTAAAGAGCCATGCTACACATGGTTAAGCACCTAGTCAGAAAGAAGTTACATAAAGGTTGTACTTCGGTACATTTTATTTACCGAGAGGAAATCCTTAAAAAGCTGTATATATTGATTTTTCTTTTTTCAAGAAAATCTTATAGCCAACATGTGTAAGACAGCTCTCCATATACTTTGTATAGTCAATGCTGATTTGTTTTTCCAAAATAATTATTCAAATTTTTAAATGATGACCCAAATGAAAAGCGTTTAAGCGCTTTTCACTCAAATTTGGCTAAGAAAAGCATAAAAATATGATTTTCAATTTATTCTTAACTATCTTTGCATGTATTTCTTTCTGTTTAAAGTGCCCAAGCTCATTTATGTAAGAAACTCAAAGGCTTTTTGGAAACCTTAGTGGAGTCCCATAAATGTTCTATATGGCCTATAAACTATAAGACTATAATTATAGCCCATATAGAACATTAAAAATAGTTTGTTTTAATTACCTTTGATCTGATGAGCAAGCATTATGCTGATCTAGGAGCCTTCATTACCTAGACTTTTATTTTGCTCTGCAATTTCAAATGCTCTACCTTTCAAATTGATTTTAGATTGGTTTCAAGCCACATAAACTCCACAATGGTCCTATGGTGACTTTCCAGCTTAAATGGTGGAGGCAGTCTTAAGGTGCCCCTCCATGCATTATTTCCTTATAATGCACTTTTCATTTTATGTCATGAACAGACTCCATAAAAATCGATTCTGCAAGTTTAAGTTTTCCAAAAATCAGGCATTAGCGTATCATAATTTACGCAACAATACACGTCTTCAATGGCCTAAGGGGGACAATCATGTTAGTTAAAGCAATAAGCAGATTACAGTTACTTTTCATGGGAGAAGGGGAGATAAAAAGGTAAAAAACCACATAATTCACATTTCAACAAATGATAATGTTAATGCTATGATAATGACACAACATTCCTTCCCCTGGTGTTTTTATATGTCATATTCGTAGCTTTAAGGCACATTCAGTCTCAGAAATTGATAAAATTTTCTTTCTGTGGAAAAGGCAAACATGTGTTTCAAAATATTGTTATAATGTGTGATGCTAATCAATTGAATGAAAATGCAATAAATGTGGGTTAAAGAGAGAAAAATGTACACAAACTAGGAATATGTATTTCGATTTTCATACAAAAACTAAATCACTATGAGTGTGCTCACTGCCAAAATGAAAAGATTATGGTTCATATGTAAATGGCCTAGGAATATTTTTTTGGAAGTTGTAACTGGACAACGAAAACAAAAAGCTTTTAAAAAATAAAAAAGATAGCATTTTTAGGCTTAATGGGCCTTTAATATTAACCTGTGTAAATTATTTATATTATATATTTCATATTTATTTTATTTGTATATACCCGTTACTGCACTAAGGTGACAATAAACTTTTTGCCTACCAGTGATTTTTTTCCCTGTATTTTACAGCCGAATAAAGGCTGTTTCCTCTAGCTCAAAAAAGGTATATTTTCCCCTTAAAAAAGCTCATATTTTCCCCTGAAATGCCCTGTGCACTACTTTAGCAGAACCAGGACTTAACAGCATGTGATTTATTATATCAGCTAGAAGACATAAAGCTGCCCCTTTAGCCTCTGCAATGTACCATGCCTATTAAATTGAATTGAAATAGGAAAAAATTTTAAAATGTGTGGGTAAATTGGAATTTGATTTTCCCCTTTTCTGATTTATCGCGCTATATTTTCCCCTTCAGAAAGCCATAAGCTGTTTTGAAAATTGGAAAAAAAAATCACTGCCTTCAATGTTTTTAAAGTGTGGTTTATATGGATGAATTTGCAACATTTGTAATAACATTTAATCGAACAACTACGTCAATTAATTACCTTTTGGTGAATATCTATTACAGGCTGACACTTTACATACAGACATATAGACCAATTGCCCAATTACCATACTAAAATGACAGGGCAATAGGGGCATAAAAACAAATAATAATAAAAAATGAAACAACAGGACAAAGGAGAACAAAGTATACCTTCTGGGTGAACTACTTTTACTGCAGTTTTATCCTCTTCGCCGTCATCTTCTATAAAAAATCCTGATCCTGTATCTACCTCACGAGCTGGACCCTTCACACGATTTCTGAAATATACAAAATTGATTCCTGTCATATGTAACTGATACTCAGAGTTAAGGCCCTTGATTAGTTATGCAGTATGCATATAGAGCAATAATCATTTCCATGCTATTTCTCTAACACTACTGGATTGAATTCAACAAAACTTTATGGGAACCATCAATACCAAGAGGAGATGCTAATATTATTTCCTTGTTCAAGTCAGACCCTGTATCTCAGAGTTATTGTCCTTGATTAGGTATGCTGCTTGCATACAGAGCAATAATTGTTTTCGTGCTATTTCTCTGCAAGTATTCCCTGGAATTCAATGAAACTTTACTGGAACCATCAATACCAAGGGCAGATGCGCATATCATTGCCTTGTTCTGATCGGACCTTTCAAGACAGAGTTATGGCCCTTGATTAATTGTGCAGTATGCATTTAGAGCAATATTACCATTTCTTTTCAACTGCTGGATTGATTTCAACAAGACTTTGTGGGAACCATCAATACGAAAAGGAAATTTGCATGGTGTGATAAATTTATATAAACAAGCAATTATCATAGTATTGCAAGCAATCCAGAAGTCCCCTACCGGTTAGAACCAAAGCAACATTCTGATGGGCCATTGGCCATTCAATTATACCATTGAATGAATGAATGACATCAATGAACTTCAATCTTTTGAGTTCTAAGTTTGTATATAACATAGTAATGTGTTAGTTTCCCTGCCAAGTAAGGAAATTATGTTTATACAACAGATAATCAAAAGGTCCAATTTTCTCAGGATGAATAAGTATAACAAATGTTTCAACTTTTCTCTATTTTAAGTAAATTTGTTACAAAAATCTTGTTATATTATTATGATGTGGGACTTTGAAGTAAATCCTAAAAGGAATGAAGAAGTTGGTAGTAAAAAATACCAATTTCTCAAAAAATTCAAGGGGGGCATAATTCTGAAAATAGTTTTGCTAGAATATTGAACCTTCTCACATATGTTGACCAATAATAAGAAACATACATATGAAGCTTGAAGCAGATACATTAAGAAATAAAGAAGTTATTTAAAAAGAACATGTTTTTTCATGAAAATTCTAAGTTTAAGGGAGGTAATTCTGATAATATTTGTGCTAGAGTTGTAAACCTTGTCACATATGATGTGATTGATGACCAGAAATTAATATTTAAAGTTTGAAGTAAATACCTTAAGAAATAAAGAAGTTATAGTGAAAAAGTGTAAAAATCGTAACCAGTAATCTTCTACCCAATATGGACAATCATCCTATTAAGTTTGAACAATGTGGGTCAAATGGAACTTAAGTTATGCGTGGAAACATATTTTTCAGTATCAATGTAATAGTGACCTTCACCTTTGACCTTGTGACCCCAAAATCAATAGGGGTCTTCTACCCAATATGGACAATCATCCTATGAAGTTTGAACATTGTGGGTCGAATGGAACTTAAGTTATGCTCTGGAAACTGTTTTCAGTTGTAAGGTAATAGTGACCTTGACCTTTGGCCTTTTGACCCCAAAATCAATAGGGGTCTTCTACCCAATATGGACAATCATCCTATGTAGTTTGAACATTGTGGGCCAATTGGAACTTAAGTTATGCTCCGGAAACTGTTCTCAGTATCAAGGTCATAGTGACCTTGACCTTTGACCTTGTGACCCCAAAATCAATAGTGGTCTTCTTCCCAATATGGACAATCATCCTATGCAGTTCGAACATTGTGGGTCGAATGGAACTTAAGTTATGCTCTGGAAACTGTTTTCAGTTATAAGGTAATAGTGACCTTAACCTTTGACCTTTTGACCCCAAAATCAATAGGGGTCTTCTGCCCAATATGGACAATCATCCTATGAAGTTTGAACATTATGGGCCAATTGGAACTTAAGTTATGCTCCGGAAACTGTTTTCAGTATCAAGGTCATAGTGACCTTGACCTTCGACCTTGTGATCCCAAAATCAATAGGGGTCTTCTTCCCAATATGGACAATCATCCTATGAAGTTTGAACATTGTGGGTCGAATGGAACTTAAGTTATGCTCCGGAAACCGTTTTCAGTTTTAAGGTAATAGTGACCTTGACCTTTGACCTTTTGACCCCAAAATCAATAGGGGTCTTCTACCCAATATGGACAATCATCCTATGAAGTTTTAACATTGTGGGCCAAATGGAACTTAAGTTATGCTCCGGAAACCAAATTGCTAACGGACGGACGGACACCTTTGACCTTTTGACCCCAAAATCAATAGGGGTCTTCTACCCAATATGGACAATCATCCTATGAAGTTTTAACATTGTGGGCCAAATGGAACTTAAGTTATGCTCCGGAAACCAAATTGCTAACGGACGGACGGACGTACGGACGGACAGACAGACGGACGCCAGGGGGTATAACATAATATGCCCTTTCGGGCATATAAAAATGTGCATAATTTCAAGACTGCCATCTACCCATATTTAAAGTTTCATAAAAAAATTTTCAGTACTTTTTACGTTATCACTGGATCCAGTTTATGTGTTAAATTTGCCATATTTTCAGTCTATTTGTTAGTTTAAACAATATTTTATTAATAATCCACACATTTACATAATAAATTACATAAAATAAAATTTACGGATTGAGTAGGAAGCTTGTAAAGCTTTTTTGAAAACTCTCTCCGTATGAAAACTCTCTCCGTCTATTTGTTGCCATAGCAACCAGAATTTTCAACATTGGAAGAAAAGAAGACGGGCCATCTATCCATATATCAAGTTTCATAAGAATATTTTAAGCACTTTTTATGTTATTGTGGGATCCAGTTTTGTGGACGGACTGACGGACGGACAGACAGAGGGTAAACCTACGGACAGACAGAGGGTAAACCTAAAGTCCCCTCTGGTAAACCGGTAGGGGACTTATAAAGCCTTATGTCTCCAGTTGTTGTGTTAGCATTAACCAGTTCTCGGCGGGAGTATAGATTCGTCGAATTTGCTTTTTCTAGATACAAAATTTCCTATAATATGTAACTTATTCCTGAACAAATAGTTTTGATGAAAAATATATACAAAATGTATTCCTGTAACATACTAATATGAAACTGATTCCCATATCAATGAACCTAATTCCTAAAATATTAAAAATTGAGTTTTGAAATGCGCCATTGATTCCCGAGTTAATTCTATTCATCTGTGAAAAATATAAAAAATGATTCCAGAAACATGAACTTATTCCTGCATCAATGTAACTTATATATACAAGATTGTTACTTGAACTAGTTTTATTGTCAGATTTGTGAAAAATACAAATTAAGTCCTGAAATATGTAATTATTCCTGAACTTATGGTATTGATGAATCAAAGCACAGAAGGTGCTGAATTTGTTTGGGTCTCAGAATGTCAGAAAGGTGAAGGTTGTGAGATTATAAAACAATTTGTTTTTGTATAGTGCCACCAATGCTTTCCAGGGATTCAATTGTAGTAGATTGGCTATAAAACTAATTGCAACACTGATATTGGATCCAATGTTTATTTGACTTAAACAATTTAAAACTAGAAATGTGTCCATAGGACACGGATGCCCCCACACGCCACTGTTCTGTCAATCTTATGACTCTAGGTCAAATATTTTTTGGACTTCATGTGCCACAAGTTGAAAACTAAAAATCAACAAAGGGCCATAATTCTGTTAAATTTGGTCGCAGCAAAAATTCCTACCTATACTACCATCTACACATTAAGGTTGTTAATCCCTGGAAGTTTAAGCAAAATCTGCCATCCGGTTTAAGAGGAGTTGCGTTCACAAAATTTCTACATAGTATATAATGAAAAAAACAACAAAGGGCCATAATTCTGTTAAATTTGGTTGCAGCAAAAATTCCTTCCTTTACTGCCATCTACACATAAAGGTTGTTCATCCTTGGAAGTTTAAGAAAAATCTGCCATCCGGTTTAAGAGGAGTTGCATTCACAAAATTTCTATATAGTATATAGTGAAAAAATCAACAAAGGGCCATAATTCTGTAAAATTTGGTCGCAGCAAAAATTCCTTCCTTTACTACCATCTTCACCTTAAGGTTGTTCATCCCTGTAAGCCTAAGCAAAATCTGCCATGCGGTTTAAGAGGAGTTGCGTTCACAAAATTTCTACATAGTATACAGTGAAAAAATCAACAAAGGGCCATAATTCTGTTAAATTTGGTCGCAGCAAAAATTCCTTCCTTTACTACCATCTACACATTAAGGTTGTTCATCCCTGTAAGTTTAAGCAAAATCTGCCATGTGGTTTAAGAGGAGTTGCGTTCACAAAATCTCTACATAGTATAAAGTGAAAAAATCAACAAAGGGCCATAATTCTGTTAAATTTGGTCGCAGCAAAAATACCTTCCTTTACTATCATCTAAACATTAAGGTTGTTCATCCCTGTAAGTTTAAGGAAAATCTGCCATGAGGTTTAAGAGGAGTTGCGTTCACAAAATTTCTACATAGTATCTAGTGAAAAAATCAACAAAGGGCCATAATTCTGTTAAATTTGGCCGCAGCAAAAATTCCTTCCTTTACTGCCATCTACACATTAAGGTTGTTCATCCCTGCAAGTTTAAGCAAAATTGCCATCGTTAGAGGATTCGTCAAAGATTCGGACAACGGACGGATGACAGAGTACAAATTCGATGTTTATGAGGAATGAGCTCATAAACACACCGACCACGTCCATAAGCAAAAAGCTCATAAAACAAAAACTCTAATTTAATTATGATTTTTTCTTATTAACTAGAAATGAAGCTCATAATAATCAAATGTTGGCTCTGACTGACTGACGGACGGACTGACGGACGGACAAGTGCAACGCTATATGCTTCCACATTGTGGGGGCATAAAAATAAAATTTGCCTTAACTGGGATTTGAACTCCAGACCTCTCGCTTCCTAAGCGAGGGCCCAAACCCCTCGGCCACGGTGGATTTACATGATAACAGCCTGAAGAAAACAGCCTGAAGAAAACCATATTATTCTAGTTAGCGTTCGTAACGACGCTAACTGTTGTTTAACACTTGTGTAAATAATCATGGGGCTGACTATAAAGCATGTATATCTATATTCTATAAAAAATAAAGCAATATTAGAAATCTACGACTATTCGGTAATTATTTTGCTTGAAAATCCGCCTGTCATGTGAACATATTTACGCAGTGATCTCCCCTAAAATTTTCGGCCTAAGTGTTACATATAAAGGGAAGTAACCGCTTCAAAAAAGCGGACTACTTTCGGCACTTGCAATTAACAGCATTAGAGTCTGAAATTTCGCTACCATTATTTGTTTGGTCTGACAACCCAAACAAATAAAAATACAAAATTGATTCCTATAATATGTCACTTACTTCTGAACTACGGTAATGTAATTAATCCATTAAAAAAAATTGTTGATGCCTCAACCAGTAAAAGTTACCCCCTCAGCCACAAGGGGCATAATTACTATCAATAAATAATTTCAATAAAATACCCGAGAGCATCAGTGGCATATGGATGTGCCTGCAATCTGCTTTGACGTAACAGAAGCGCCCTCTGTCTATTTCTTTCTATACGTGCTCTCTGTGAAGCTGAAAGATCAACTTCTTCTTTATTTGTGGACATCTCTTCCTTCTGCAATTGACCAACCTGGGATGTGTCAGCTTCTGCAGATCCATTCTGCACTGTCTCTGCCATATTGTGATCAACTCAACATTTCAATACATATTTAGTTCTTATTCACTGAGAGTTTTTCAATACATATTTAGTTCTTATTCACTGAGAGTTTCATATTGATCTGAAACAAAAAACAATATAGTTGTACATGCTGCATGCAAGATAGTCAAAATATATTGACGTGCCAAAGCTTGATTCTGAGATAATTTTGTTCTGGGGCAAAATCTAGCGAAAGGCGAGATATTGCCCAGACACGAAAATAGCACCTTTTTCTCGTCGCGCAGCACAATTAGTTGGACTACATGCAAGACTGAATATAAGAAATCTTAACTAGTTACAGACTTCATAATTTTAAAGCTAGAGATCTGAAAATTTGACAAAGTTCAACTAGGTTCCTCTCCTTAAAAACAAACTGGTTGTGTAAATCTGATTATGTTGACATTTATACTGGTGCCTCATATTTCCGTGGTACTTAATTGTTGAACACAGACTCCAAAAGTTAAAAGGATAAAATTCTGGAAAACTCAGTGAATATTGTAGGAAAGACATGCTAATTGCATCATAGTTTATTCCATTTAATGTTTGCATGTAAGCAATTATGAATACAACATTGTAATTAACACCCATCTGCTGCCTAGTGAGTAAATTTGTGTTCTCATATTTCCAAGGCAATTACTTTTTAACAGTTTCAAAAGCAAAAATAAATAGTAAACTTTATTTCTTAGCATCCCTACACCTATGCTCATCTGAAAGGGGCGATTTTCTCTTTGGCATTTATAAAATACCTCAAAGATTCTTTAACAAAGAAGATTTTTTTAAAAGGTATGAAATCTAACAGATAAATGGTGAAATACTAAATAACTTTGCTCTTAATCTGAATAAAATTATTTTTTATAGTTCCATATATAACATTTCGATAATAATACAATAAAATAGTGAACGTAAAACAACTGGCAGGTTCATTATGTCTAGGAGGCACTTTAGACTGTTTAAGCCATATACCTTGGAAACATGGGTACCACCATGGCACGGAAATATGAGGCACCAGTATATGTATTTGAGGCCTAACTGTTGAGGAGGGTATCAAAATTACACAATACATGTGTTCTGATAGATATGATGTTAACAGTGTTTTAACAGTGTATGTTTATTGAACTACATGTATATTTTTACTTGTTTAAACCTCTACATGTAAAAGTTATGTATATGAATAATCCTACCATGAAAGTATTTCAACTTTCATTTCAACTACCTGTGCAATCCATTTTGACAGTCAAACCTAACCTTGTTTATAACGTGTATTTTCATTGGTTTGTGTCGTTTCAATCTTTGACTCGGGTTGGTTGTATTTTCTAACATTTTAGGCATATTCGTTTGGCATTTGTCTGGTGTTGGTTTAATTTTAACGACCTCCTACATTACTAAACTCAACGGATTCTTGTCAGTTATATATACTGTCTAATGTTTCCTTTTTTCACTTTACTAGGTCAACATCATTTCTAATTTTACGCCTACTTTAGTGATTAACACTGCCTGCTTCGAGATGAGCCAAAATATATCAAGAAAATCAAACTTAATTGTGAAAAATGTAGGTCTAAACTAGTATTTCAAATAAAGTAAAAAGGTTCAAAAATCATTTAACAATTTATATTTTATGTGCGATTAATGACTGATTTTGCAGTATATTAGATCTATAGAATGGGTCATCTGTTACAGCAATATAACTGGTTTTCAAACAATTTTTACATATATGGAAAAAATCTGTTTACCATCAAGTTTATATAGTCTAGACTTGTCAAAGAGACAGCAAGATAGTTTTTGGATGTCCAAAGTCTTTTTTTCCCCCAAATCGGTCTGACAGTAGGAAAAGCAGTCTGATAACCCTTTACCTCATATAGACGTGTTTTGACGGCTTTTAGAACCACGTACTGTACTTGTCTTTTGTTTGGGGAATGTTGTTAAAAAAGTGATAATTTTTTCAGCACCGCCCCCTATCAAAAAGGTACATCAGGGGGGTGCCAGAAGGGGAATGTGCCCCCTTTTGTTTCGGGTGTTTGAAGGGGCGGCTGTTCCCCCCCCCCATCCTCATCGCCAAGAAAATTTTGGACATGTGACATGTGACAGACTAAAAATGGCCTCAGGTCGATCGTAAGGCAACGTGGAACCAACGCTGAAAAGCCTTAAATTTACTCCATCTCAATCCATTGAGAAGTTGCAGCATTTTGAAATCAGTTTTGATGGAAAAAAGCAATGCAAAATAGTGATTTTTTGCAATTTTTGAGACGTCCCCCCGTTGCCATGGGAAAAAGATATTTAAGATTGAGCTTGCTGTTACAGAGACTATGGTCCAGTCAACATTTTATCAGTAGTTTCATAGCAGTTTGAACTTGTAACAGGACGCTTTTCAATGAAAAGGGCCATTTTCCACAATATATGCCTTTGAGGTACATGCAAAGGGTTAAATGGGTCAAACCATTCATGCTTCAGTAATATTAATAAAGCTGGGATATAAATATTGAACAGACTGCACGTGGTTCACCTTCTTGGAGAGTCATCAGACCTCTTGAAATTACGTGTTGAGAATGATTGCTGACAGTTTCCATTTTAGGTATCAAACTGAAGTTAATCAATCTCATTTAAAGTATAAAAACAATAGAACCAGTCTTCAAAAATTGTTGTGCGCATGCTCCGCCTAAAAACACGACTTTAATTTCGTCTTCTGCCTCAATTTCTTCTTTGGACCATTGTCGGTGATTTTCTTGCTGCTCTGGCTTCCTTTTAGACATTGAGTACTTTTGTAATAGTCATTGGTTAACCTCTATATGTATCTACATAATCATTTTGTGTTTTTATTTTTTCACCTCTTGTTACCATAACAACTGTTAGAATTTCATTCATTTTATTTACGCTGTCTCGTGTAAAAGGAACATGTGGGGGCTAAGAGTGAGGTTTGGTACACCATTAACGGGTTTAAACTCCCCAACAGTGCTTAGCTAGGCTGCTGACTCCCAGGCGGCGCCTTTCTGTACGTGTTCCTCAGTTGTATGTCTCGCTTGTTTAATACTATTATGGTGACATTTTCAATTGTGCCCCTTCTTAAATTGTTGTTTTTCTCCGCTACGATAAGTACATTGTATCTTCCCTTGTGCCCCTAGTTGTTATCTCCTTTTTTTAATTTTGCACATTACCCGACCCTCGAGTCCCCTATAGCTTCCCCTGCGAGCTTTTGTTTTGTAGGCCCTTTTTTTGGTGGGGGGGTCATTAAATTGTCTTCTTTTATTTCCTTGTCTAGCTGTTTCTATTACTTCCTATTTGTATTAAATATAAGGTAATTATCCTTGTCTGTGTTTGTAATACGTACGTTGTCTACCTGTGATGTACTCACATGTATACATACAAAACCACTTAATATATTGAAGCTAGGGTCCTGCTGGGCTCCTTGCTGGTGGTGCTGCGTTGCTGGGTCGTGTCATTGAACGCCTCGCCCTTCCTTGTTATCTTTTTTTTTTCTTTTCTTTTTTCATATTTTACTTAATTAAAAACAATCAAACAAATTAAACAAAACAGCTGCAAAAAAGGCGTCTCGCATGCTTTTTTACAATGCAAACTTGTTTACATTCTTAGCAGCATGGTTTCATAACATTGAATGGCTAACATTAAATAGTTCAAATTAATTGTCATTTGGCCAATCTCCTCACAGCTAGGTGGCAGTATCAGTGTTTGGACCCCCCCTCCCCCCCTCTCTATAACTATAATTTTGATAGTGGATTTTTTAAAAATTTTATCGGGGGTTTTGTATTTGGTACCTTATGTGTTAATTATTTTTTCAGGGTTGTAACAGGAGTCCAGGGACAGATAGGGGTTGGTTGTCCAAACACTGATACTGCCACCTGTGTATCTCCTCGCATCGGTTACGTCTCTCGATTTGTAAGCCTTACTAAGGGAAGTAACCGTTGCAGGAGTTTAGTAGTCGTTCGTAACCTGAATTAATTGAACCAATCAAATATCTTGTATCTCCACTATCCTTACAACAAATATGTCGGCGCCCTTCGATAAACAAAAGCGACCGAAGGTTGGCGTCGGGGTATTTGTAACAAGTAAAGCTCATCCGGGGTGTGTTTTACTTGGGAAGCGGAAAGGGTCTTCCCCTGGCGAAGGACAGTATGCTCTTCCTGGCGGACATCTCGAGTTTGGGTTAGTTCACGAGGTTTGTTGGTCATGCAATTGGTCGAACTTGTTTGGAAAATCGGAGTGTTCCGCAAGTCATCAAATTAGAAATCAATATTGCAAGTGCGACTGTATCAACAGTGGCAAAACCCATACTGTATTAGAGACATGTTCCAGTAGTAGGCAGGCCAACTAAAGGTTAAACGAATTACGGAACTTCGGTTGTTTTCTCGAAACATTTTTGCCTTATTAGCACAGCTTCAAATTTGAAAACTTGTTAACATGTGTAATTGAAAAGAGGTGTGTATAAACCATGACAGCATTTGGGCTATCCAAAAATACTGCTGGTTTCATCTGACACTCAATCTTGGCTTTAAATAATGGTATATCTACACAAATGAAACTATAAAGCAGGTTTGTTTTTCATTTTATGTTCTGTATGATATAAATTAATCGATACAAAATCCCAAATAGTAGTTTAAGAAACACAAAAACGTTAAAGTAAACAAAAGAAATATTCAGATTATTTGCTTGAAACCAGAATGATTATTTGTTAAAGCATATTAATGCAGTTCATCCCGACTTTGTAGCAGACAGAAGTCGTACATAATAAATTGAAACATGTTAATTTAGATTTAAGAAGTATGATGGAGTGAATCCCCTTTGGTAACATTAATCTCAGAAAACTTTGTCATATCAAAACAAAATGGTAGAAATCGAAACACTTGTGCAAATGATTTTATCGAAATGAGATTTTTCAATTATTACTGTTTAATAATTGTTCTGAAATACTTGTTTAAATCTCTTGAAAGGCATTAAAATAGCTTTGTACACTTCTCAGAGAAAGTTGGGTGGACTGTGCTGACCGTGAAGTTCAGGAAGAGACTGGACTCAAACTGACCAATGTACAGTATTGTACTACTGTTAATGCAGTTGAAGTAAAAAATGACTATCACTACATCACTGTGTTTATGAGAGGGGAACCAGCTTCTGCTAATTTGGAGCCAGAAAACTTGGAACCAGATAAATGTGAAGGTAACCTTTTTCATTATTTTCTTTTCTGAAGCGCATAGAGCCTGAGAGTGAGTAACCCATAAATAAAATGTTCTTTGTATTTGTTTCTTAAAGTGAAACTACAGACTTGAACATTTAGAAATTGACGCGGATTCACTTTGCGAGTTTCTTAAGAAACATTATATGCATTGGTTACTAACCAGAATGAGCTGACTCTACACTTATCCCATGTAAAGTAATAAAATATTAAAACAGGTATGGAAGAAAGCATGAATGCAGTTATTTCAGCAAAATTGTCGTACATAATTATTATCCTGCAATATTGATTTATCATACAATATAGATTGCTTATTATAAACTTCTGTTCAATTAACAATTCAATCATTCATGCCAATGGAAATTATAGGAAATATAATGTTGAAGTAATCTTGTAGCTGTCTGTAGAATTTGGAATAAATATTTATATGCCAAGGTAACTTATGCTCCTTTTGTTTTGAAAACAGTTTAATAGGGTTTATACTTTATTACTTTTATTTGGTCATTGAATATTTTCCAAAACATACATTTGCACTTAATTAACTCTTATTTACAATTAAATCGATGCTATATAATTAACAATGTTTTGATTTTTGCACTTTGAAGGATGGACCTGGTGTAAATGGGATAAGTTTCCACAATTGGAGTCGCTGTTCTGCCCTTTAAGAGTTCTTCGAAATCAAGGCTATGACCCTTTCAAATGACAGTACAATAGCCATACTTCAATTGCAAATTCCTAAAAGAGGGGCAATCGAATGACCGAATTGTTAGAGGCCGAGAGTATCACGAACTTTAAAATATATTAAAGATTATATATATATAACTATGTGCTTAGTATCGACAAGCCTTGCAGTATTACAGTTTTGGAGACATTCTTGTACGAGAAGTGTAAACATACTGAAAAATAAAAGTTTCTGTAATTTTGATCTTGTGTTTTTTAGTCAATAATGTTTTCTTGTTAGCCCGTTCTTATGCATGTATATTAAGTAAAAATAAAAGTTTCTGTAATTTTGATCTTGTGTTTTTTAGTCAATAATGTTTTCTTGTTAGCCCGTTCTTATGCATGTATATTAAGTAATAAATATATTCTTAGAGATAACCTAACTTTAACATCAAAATTACAAAAAAGAAGTCGTATGGACTTTTTTGGCTCATAAAGTCATATGGAGTCATATGGCTCGAATTTGTTTTGTTGAGTTTTAAGTTACATTAACACTGCAGAAGTCATTGACAACTCTCCAGCTGAACTGGTCGAGGAAGACCTCAAATGCGCCTTCGTTACCTTGAACACGGTGCATATCCATATCGGTACCCTCTTTGCGAAATCTGCTGAAACGGTACCCTCTTTGAACATGCACAAGTCATTCTCTGCTAAAAACAAACCAGCGGTGGATAACAATCCAATAAAATTTCATTATATTAAGGAAAGGAGGTATGACACGTAGAAAAGATGTATACCACGGAACACTAGAATGTTTTATTTATGTGCTGATTTGTCATGTGCCCGATTTTCATGTACTGCAACTTCACAATAAGCTACAAAAAATCGACATGTCTTGCCTCGCCCATCACCTCGACATATTTTTCGGGCTGAAATGAACCTGTGGCTTGATTATATATGCATCATACATATTTAATATGTTCATATACATATCATCTCCGAACAAATGTCAGTATATTGTCAAAAATAAATGAAATTTTTTAAAAAACACCCTACTTTCGGTTTTGCAGCGGCACGGGCTACCTCTCTTTATTTGAATTTTTATATCACAGGTACCCTCTCATTTTTTAACACATAGGTACCTTCAAAGCACGACATATGCTTTTATTTGCGTTATTCGTTAAGTATGCATGTAATATTTCTTACTCCTATGTAAATATTTTATATTCAGCGATTAACGCAAATATAAGCATATGTTGTGCTTTGAGGGTACCTATGTGTTAAAAAATGAGAGGGTACCTGTGATATAAAAATTCAAATAAAGAGAGGTAGCCCGTGCCGCTGCAAAACCGAAAGTAGGGTGTTTTTATGAATTTTTCATTTATTTTTGACAATATACTGACATTTGTCCGAAGATGATTTGTATATGAACATATTAAATATGTATGATGCATATATAATCAAGCCATAGGTTCATTTCAGTCCGAAAAATATGTCGAGGTGATGGGCGAGGCAAGACATGTCGATTTTTTGTAGCTTATTGTGAAGTTGCAGTACATGAAAATCGGGCACATGACAAATCAGCACATAAATAAAACATTCTAGTGTTCCGTGGTATACATCTTTTCTACGTGTCATACCTCCTTTCCTTATTATAATGACATTTTACTGGATTGTTATCCACCGCTGGTTTGTTTTAGCAGAGAATGACCTGTGCATGTTCAAAGAGGGTACCGTTTCAGCAGATTTCGCAAAGAGGGTACCGATATGGATATGCACCGTGTTGAACGTTCGTAAGCTACCTGGATGGCCTCTTCATATGAAAGAATTCAAAGTTCCTGATAGGATGTGAGGTGCAGATTGTTTTAAGCCTACGACCTTAGTATCGTTTACCACTCGACAAAATATATCCAATTAATTTGATCGTTTAATCAAAACCCTATGAATTATTAAAATATATTTTGTCACAATTTAAAACGAGAAGTATACAATAGCGCTCCTAATAATGGAATAAGTTTTACACAATAAAAAGTGTGAAACATTTACTTACAAATATGCATACCAATACTTTCTTGAAAAATGTGGCTTACACATACTTTTATGACATTTTCGACGTAAGGTCTAAAACTTTTTTAAATTCTGCAGAATATTTGAATTACTTGTGAATGTCTAATGTAATTCACATTTCAGAGAATCTTGGGAGGATTGTGCCAGTAGAGAAACTCTCGAAGAAACAGGCCTCCGTTTAACAAATGTTCGTTTCTGTACTGTAGAGAATGGGGTTGACCTAGATAATGACTATCATTATTTAGAGTTGTATATGTCCGGCGAAGTCGACGTAACATATAAAGCCGAACCAGAAAATACAGAACCAGAAAAAAATGAAGGTCACTTACAAATTTAATCTAATTAAACGTTTCTATATTTTAATTAAGCTGAAAAAATACATGCGATGAAATTGTTGGATCAGATGAATGTAAATATGGTCAAATAATTGTAAATATTAAAAACTGAAAGTTTAGAAGAATGAAAGTTTAGAATACGTCATGTGTGTCTTTGTCTTTTATAGCCAGTTAAAATCACCAAGAAGGTATATTTTAAGTAGCCTTGAAAATCAAAGCAAGTTTGACAATCAATAAATTAATCAATATACATCGTAATTTTGTATTTCAGGTTGGTTTTGGACGTCATGGGAAGCCTTGCCACCTCCAGAAGAATTGTTTTATCCTCTTAGGTTGTTAAAACAGCAAGGATATAAACCAAATTTTCTCTAGCCTTAATTACAACTTCATGTCATAATACATGGGAAAGAAATAAGAATCGAAAAAAATAAGAATGAAAGAATCGAAAGAAATGCGAATTAAAAGAAAACTATGTAAATAAAATGTCGAAATGGCAAATCAAGTCAGGTTCAGCAAGTATTGTAGCATTGTGCTTTGCAGTGACCTTTTCAGAGTTAATGTTTGAAAATAGCAAAATAAATGTAAAATATAGTATATAATACTCTTGTTTTAATTGCATTATTTATTATAGTCATTATATGAATATATCATTACGAGAAAAACTTGCAGCCATCATTCCATAGTAGCTTGGATGAAGATTCGCGTAGACTTGTGACTTCCATGATGTTACACCCGCGTGTGCTAACATTCCATGAAGCATAACTAGACCGGTGTATCCACAAGAAAGAGCCCGATCAACAAGTGTGCCGGCCTCCACGAGAAAGTTATAATTCAAAGTGCGAGCCCAATTGCCAATAGCCTGAAATTAAGTTGGAATATGTACTGTCTAGCAGTCCAAAATTAATCTGTAGGATATCCAGACCACAAGAAGGGCTATCAAAATTGCACAAAGAAAGTGCCTTCTTGTTATATTCTTATTTAATCTTGCATATCTAATGCAAGTGAACTTTTTACTATGAATACAAAAGATTTAATTAATATTGATAAGAAATACCAAAGGTATTTCAAATTTATCAGACTAAACAAACCGTATTTTGTATGATTTCTGGCATGATGGTGTTTTGGAAAATTAGGTAATGATTTGGCCTGGCGATGAACAGGCAATATTAATCAAAGATGAAAGACAAAATGAGTCGTATATGCAAACTTTGGCAAAAAACCGTTACTAACATTGTCGAAAGGTTGTGATGTATTGGAATATCCGTATGGTCCATCAGCTTTGTGAGTGTGTGCTAGGTCAGCGCTTATTATAACAGCAATTCTCTGTGGGGACTCCTCGAGCAATTTGAAAAAGTCATCACCTGTTATACGGGGTAATAAATTAATAATGAATCAAAAGATCATGAACAAAATACCTTAGCATTTTAAGTGTAAACAAAACAAAGGAACAAAGAAAGAAAACTATTACAAAATATGAAACTTAATGCAATGATGCATTTCAGCTCCTTGTTAAGTAAAATATTTGCTATATCGTTCAACGTGAAAACTTTGGTTAGATCTCATGTCGACTCATCCTCAAGAATTATTAACTACGTACAAGTTTATAACATCAGATCGTAAAAATGATTCTTTCTATAGTTTATCATGTAAAAATGTAGGAGAGTCTTATATGACTTGGACTATTAAGTCATATAATAACGTTTTTCATTGTTCAAAGATATAATTAAGTAAATTTGAGAAATCCATTGCCAGTTTTCATTGATATATGCTGTGTTATGTGGACAAAACCTTTTGGAAAATCCGGAAAACTGGAGAACCCTCGAGAGCAATGTGTAAAAAAAGAAATTATAGACTCTTTGATTGGGTCATTTCATTAATTAGCGAGTGCAACATCTTTCACGTCCCATAACTTCGCGCCCTATGCAGTATATTTGATCTTCAACACAGTTTTGAAACCAGTATTTACAATATGAATTTGATTTTATATATTATGAGAGACAATATTATCCTTCTACACGCAAGTTTCTTCATCATTAATGTTGACGCTGGAAATCCAACCAACATCGTTGTTTCTTTAATTATTGTATGATCAATCAGCAGTTGAGTGGCTTTGTTTGAGTAAAGTCGCGCACGAAAATTCTTTATCATTCATTTATGTATTGTTTTGATTAAGATATCTGAGTAAAATCCCATATTCTATCACATGCCATTTTTTTTTACCTAACTGAAGTAGTTCCGGTATCATCTTTACACTGTCTGAGTATCTCCTTGTTGGTTGGGACAAAATCACGATTTTGGTTGTAGATGAATTTCCCGACAAAAGAAGTGGGATAACCTCGCCCCATCTGAAACGAAACGCTTTTATGCAGAATAGATAGATCTCTACAACCTAAATAAAAACGGAATCCCTAAAGAATGCCCAAAACGACAAAATTGAAAATGTTGCAGGCTCGGTTTGATTGAGTATGTTTATAGACGGTACTAACGAACTTTGCTGGCCTGGTTCAAAATGTGCCCATGACTTGAATTTTATTTACAACAAATATTTTATTAAAGGATTCTAATAGAGTTGCTAATTATTTAGATTTATTCACGTTCTTTTTTTTAGGATTTGATTTCATAAAGTTAGTTTTACATCTCACTTAGCTACGTCGACATTGCACCTTAAGCACCCTCTGTAAATAACATTATGAATAAAATTCAAAAAATGCATGTACTGCATGCTAGATCATTATTAATCTAACCGTAATGGAATGGAATTATCGTTCCCTTCCGGTCCAAAGGCTGATAACAATGACACGTTTCTTTCGTATCCAAACCTTTGGAATATTGCGGAAGCTATTTGTGCTTCTAATTGTACACTGAGGTTGTAACGGCATGGCAAGATCAAACAATCATCAACATCTCCATATCCTTTTAAAAATGAAATACATATAGTGTTGTATGGATCAAACATATACGGCTGGTATTAGATGCGATAAAATAAGTTATTTATTTACATAAATTACGTACTGGTGTCTGCAAAGGTATATTATATTTCGAACCCACTATATCCAACCATTTCTGAATCACTGGATTTTCTCAATTGAATTTAAAGAAAAAAGTCATCGTTATGACTTCAATATGGTTATGGTTCAATATTACGGCTTTGGAAATATACTTCGGAATTTTTGCAAAGTTAAATGATAACTATCCTTTTTATATAATATTTCTTTTCCACCTTTGCAGATTTTACCATTTTAAGTGCTGAATTTGATCTATGTAAAAAATATAGGTTTTTTTCACAAGATATATATATGACAGTTTTTTTTTAAATATTTTTTCTCTTGATATATGTTCAAATGAATTGCTAGCAAGTAGGCCTATTATTTTGCATTTTCCATTCAGTGTTCCAAATATCATCAAACATTAATCACTTCTATATATTAACTTCCTGACAGTTTGGACATTGGTGCTAATTTTGATTACAATGAAAAAAATCTTTGAGAGAACTCATTATCGTCAATTACAGCTAGCTAGTGCATGAATTCCGACAAACTTGAAATGTACTTTCGCATTGTAATACTTAAACACTGATAAATACATTCAAATGAAATGAAAAGATTGGAAAGATCTGCAAAGTATCTAGAGCTATTGATTTCTAAAATACAGAACATACCCGAACCAACATCATTGCTATATAACAAGAAATTTCGATAATCTGATAATCCGTGCGGTGTACTTAGAAATATCACATCCGGATTGATGTTCCGAACATCTCTGCCAACTTTCAGACAGGCTTCATGTAACGTCTTGGCTTCATTTCTCTCCGTTTGGTTTTTCGTGTTGAAGTTCCGTGGATCAAGTGCTACTCCACCATGCGGCAAAACAAATCCGCCCACAACTTTACCATTTGTATACCCGTACAAATGAACATTTAATAGAATAATAATTAAACTTTTGAAATAATACTCCATTGTTACTTTCACTGATATTAACAAAGAGTTGTTTTTTTCCTGTTATCATACAGCAAGTCAAAGGTCATATACATCTATTTATAAACAGAAAAGCTACTTTCCGGATCAAAATATTGTAATGGAATACCTCCCTTACAAATTTGGACATTTCAAATGACATGACAATTTACGTTATACTTTCAACAGAAATCAACATGTGCATATATAATTCTATAAATCATGAACTGTTCTTACTTAAAATGTATTAACAATGATCAAATAGTGCTACCTTTTTAACAAATGGACTTTATTCCACGAAACACAACGTAAAACTTGAATATCAGCATTGTTGACAGTTCTCTTTTAAGAAGAGTATCACATTAGGATAGATAACTCTCGCCACAAAATGGTCAGATGACCCTAATTAATTTCCTGATGAATATCTAATAATTTGGAACATTTACAGTTACTATAATATATCACAAAGTGAATATCTACAGACATTATTGGAAGATTCAGACGGCGCTTTCTTCTGTCATTTTCCATGTTTAAAAATGGCGGACACAGAACTTTGGAACTACTTATTTGTATTTCAGTCTGGCTTTTTATGAATGTATATTTGTTTACATTTAAACTTTCAGGATTTCTTATTTATGTAAAAATAATTGTAAGCCTGATTTGAGCCGGATGATTTTCTGTCTTTATCATATTTTATTAAGTGAGAACTGTATTTTATCTGCGTAATAGAATACGTCTGCATATATCACTACGCTTGAGTATTTTGGACCGGCTTTTTGTTAATATGTATTTTTAAATGTTATTTCAGATATGTTTATGTGGCTTTTCAATTAAGCCATATATGTGCTACTTATGTCTGTTAGAACTTCTATTGTTATTGCTATATTGTTAAATATTGTTAAAGACTGATCACTGGACCTAGTCTTAAGCCGGGATTTTCATTGGCTGGGGCACTCTTTGTAGCGTCCCAAAAGTTTATAAATAGGGGTGACTGTCGTCATTTGGCATCTTCTTCTCAACTGTAAAAACTTGAGAAGTACCCAAAGCTCAGATAGCTCTAAAGCTTCACAGCAGTCTTACCTGATCTATAAATTTATTTAGAATTGCCTGTAACAGATTACTATCTTCTAAGGTACAACTAGTGGAAATATTGTTTAGAAATAATAACTTACCTTTATTTGCTGAGCGTTAAGCTATCCAGTACTATAGTAAACAACAACAGTTCACTTACAGAAGTCTATTACAAATTCATTTGATGCTGAACCTAATATGAATTATCACGTTATGGCAGACCCTAAAAGATGCATTGGTCTTAGAAATTTCCAACATCCTGTCATACTTTACATTTATTTGTAACTAAATGTTCATAACCGAAGAAGATCCCATTGCATAAGCCTAGGTCCTCTATTGTCGAGTATTGTCAATGCCGGTATTTAATCCATCGAAGAAGAATTGTTCATGCCGCCCGATATTAATCCGTTTATAACGATAGATCTACGTCACAGAGTAGTATTGTCAGCGAATATCATATACATATTTATTGAGATGTACTTGTTATATATGATGTCACATTATTAAATGACGTTTACATGTTAATCGAGTTACTGATGTCTTGTACCAGTTTCCTGTGTTTATACCAATGCAGGACTTACCTATATTTGTACACTCTATCCTAAGTAATAGGTTGTATAAATCCTGGTTATATAAATATCCTGACAAGATGACCAGATACTTACAAAGGATCCCTTGATGAAACTATGATGTCTCTATTATGATGTGAGCCTACCTCTTATGATGTATACTACAAAGATGACTAAGATGTGTTGAAGCTATGTCTGATGTTTAAAACAACAGCTACTTGTAAGTGTATGTAATATGGAGTAGAAGTATTGCCATACACTTACTAGTTAATACAGTGGCCGGTATCCTGATTAATAAGGATTTGGTAACTACCCTAGGGGGGTAGGTCCTTACAACTTGGTGTCAGAAGTGGGATATCCTTTTCTTACAGGGTATCCAGAGACGAATTCACACTTGGCAGACGTAGCTAAAATCAGATGAGAGAACCTTGGGATGATAGTGACATGTGATACTACTTATTCTACTAACTATATATCGTTTACTTTTAGATATTACATCATATATGCAGAGACAGTAACTAGACAATAGAAGGCGTATGCAGTGGTATTATTCTTAGTCTTTGGCAAAGGACCTTGTCAAAGATACTCAACTAATGTATATATGTTATTCTTTATTTTTTAAGATCAAACATGGCAGATTCTGATCCTGAAATACAATTTAATACAATGAATAGCTGTGATGAAACAATAGAGGCAGCACATAATGATGACAGTGGAAATGAGGCAGAACAAACAGCATATTATACTTTACCATCAGCAACTGACACTGACGAAGATGACGAAGAACCGAAGGACAGTCAACAACGTTGTAATACTCCTATGCGGAATGATTATGTAAATAGCAGCTCTGGGCAGGGAGATAATCCTGAAGACAAACCGAATGAAACTAGAAACAGTACTAGGAGATCTGGACGAAGAATCAATTTTAATGAGGAAATTGGTGATGACGAAAACCAATACCATGGCCTGAACGATAGACGAGGAAGGCGAAGATATATCCGTAAACCTGAGAATATTGAACAATATTCTGATTCCGATGAAGACGACATTGACGAAAGACGGGTACATCGTAGACGAATTAAAGTAAACCGCGATAATAGAAGAGAGCATTACAACACCGAGGAAATATCTAACCGAAATTATGAGCTGGACACAAATGATAATCAAAGCAATATAAGTAATAAAAGAAACAAACCAAATCTTCCTGTCATTAAACCAACAATTTATGATGGTACCGAAGACTGGGAAAGTTATTTTTCTCATTTTTCTAATTGTGCAGATCTGGGTAAGTGGTCTAATGAAGAGAAGGCACTTACTTTAGCTTCTTGTCTGAAAGGTTCAGCAAGAACATTTTATTTAGGTTTGCGTCCAAAGGAGCAAAGAGTTTATGCAATACTGGAGCAAAAATTGTCTGAAAGGTTTGGAAGTAGTAGGCAACAGACTAGGTATTTAACGAAATTTGAAACTAGAAAACGTAACATAGGTGAAGCGGTAGCATCCTATGGTGATGATCTAAGACTACTAGCTCGAAGGGCGTATCCTGATCTTGGAACAGAAGCTCAGGAGTCACTTGCACTTCACCAACTTTATAAAAATATCAGTCTAGACTTAAAGTATAGATGTATGGATAGAAAGTGTAGCACAATAGAAGAAGCCGTGGAGATTGTAGAAAGATGCGAATCAATATTGGGACCAGACGATAGAAAGCGATCAACTGTACACAATATAGCAAGCAGCGAAACAAGAAATGTAGCCGCAAACAACAAGAATTTAGTTGAAAGTGAACTAATGAGTCAAATGCATAACATCTTAAACAGACTTGAAAAAATGGAAACAAAAATTGACAAGGCAAGCTTAGCAGAAAAAGACGACAGAAAAAGAATTGGTAGATATGATCGAAAATTTACGGGGTGTTTCTTATGTAGCGGAATGGACCACTATGCGAAGGACTGTCCAAGGTGGGGACAAAAGTCGGAAAACTACAAACCGCTAGTTTAATGAGCCAAACACTAGCGGGTGATGTTTGGCCAGGTGATGTTGACAAATATGATACAACAAGGAAAATTGGTGTGTTCAATAAACTTACTAATAATTGGAAGGGTCCATATCTGGTGTTGAAGCAGCTTGATGATTTGACTTACCTGATCCGTGCATCTCCGAAGATGGTTCCAAAGGTGGTGCATATTGATCGTCTTCTTCCTTACCGAGGTTCAAATCTACCGAAGTGGTTCCAAGACTATAAACCGAAGAATAATTGATATTTACTGTTGCAAGCTTTAGTTTCTTTATTTTCAACTTGTATGTACATTCGCAATAAAATGGTTTAACTCACCTATGTTCATTCACTAAGGAGTGTTTGAAGGTACGAAGGATGATGTTGGATTCGCCTTCGTGGTTCATATATTGGGGAAATATATGATTACAGGACCCAAGGGGGGCTCTGTGTTCTTTATGTATATGTGGTATATACATGGTTGTCTAAGCCTTGTGCACAGGTTAGACTGTTAACTTACCTCACGGTTGTTATAGGTGGGTAGATGAGGTAACCATCAATCTTGGACTATATATACAAGCCTTAACATCATTCGTTATAGCAACAGAAATATACATGACGTTTACATTTAAGCGTATCAAACTTTTCCGTCAAATCAGCGCGCTTCGGAAGCAAATAACCCTAGACGTATCAAATTCTGTACCGTTTCAAATTCCGTAATAAATCGAGAAACACGTATCAGAGGAATGGCTGGCTTATGGCAATGGGAATCCATGTATAAAATATCATGGCCTAAAACTTAACAAGATGTTGTATACCTGTATTTTCAGTATGGTTCACAAATGTTGGTCCTGCGGGGAAGGTTTTGACAGCAGAGATCGGTTGCGCACGCATTATATGAACAAGCCCCACAGGTTTCTAGAAGTCATTTGTGCTTGGTGTTATGAGAAATTCAGAAGACCTGTTGATCTCAGATCACATATTCAGAAGAAGCATCGCTCCGTGTCTAAGAAGTATGGACCACACTTTCCGTCAGACAAGGAGGCATTCTTCGCTGCTGTAGAACCCAGGGCATACAGGACGTGTATCAAGGGGACACCAGCTGAAATACATGGCATCCATGAGATGAAAGAGCTTCTGTTGATGTGTCCCTTTCACTCTTCAGAAAAGTGGCAGTATGGCTGGGACAGGCATGGTCCCTTCTCAACCGTACAGTACAGTGTAGGTAACGTCGAAAGGTCATACTCTCCCACAAGACAAGGCATGTGGGAAATGGAGTCGATTGAGATTTGTCCCTTGTGTCAAAAGTTGTTATCTTTGGAGGCAAGGGCCAGCACTACCGGCTGACGCTAGAGAGTCTGGATCAGAGAGACAGAGATAGGTTGATGAGGACCATGTCTGCCATACGCAAAGAGCCCAACTTTGTCCCCAAGCAGTG